GACGCGGTTTAGTCGGACGCGGTTTAGTCGAGCGCGGTTTTGTGGTGGAACCGGAGTTTAGAGGATATCGGCCTGGCAGCTCTCCAAGCCTGCTAAAGGTCTGTAGTGGTGAAATCTGGTGAGAGACTCTTGGCCGGGACTTTGCTGGAGAGGAATTCCCTTTAAATAAAAGGGGTTTTATCGGGACGAGGAGTCGGCTTCGTGCTTTTGGGAAGCCCAGGGCAGAACACTTGGTCATGAAGGCGAGGGAACATTGGCCTGGCCATCCAGGCGTCCTTTAGGTCGGAATCCAAGGCAGAGCGTCGGCTTCCTTTCCCAGGCGGAATTAACACGACTCTTTGTTTTCCCCTCTCCTCCCTCCAGGCCGCTGATTGCCAAAAAGAACCCCAAGATCCCCATGTCCAAAATGATGACCATCATGGGCGCCAAGTGGCGGGAGTTCAGTGCCAACAACCCCTTCAAAGGATCGACGGCCGCTGTGGCCGCTGCAGCCGCCGCCGCTGCGGCCGCCGTAGCGGAACAAGTCTCGGCTGCCGTCTCGGCCGTGATCCCTTCACCTGAGCCCCAACACCTTCTGCAGCCCCCGGCTCAGCCTCTTCCCATCCGCAAAGCCAAAACCAAAGAGGGCAAAGGTGAGTAGCGGGCCTTTCTCTGGAGGAGGAGGAGGAGGAGGATGGTGCAAAGAACAGAGGGGAGGGGGGAAACACGGGGAGGGGCGGTTTCTGGCTGGATCGGAGTCAGCCGTTCGGTGCACAGAGTTCGGTAGCACCGATAGGAAATTGTACTTCTAAGAAAGAAAAGCTGGGAAGAGAAGAGAATATTTGTGGGTTGAAATGAAGGGTCCTGGGTGAGCTGGGTGGGTTTCTTGAAGACGTTTCATGACCCAACCAGGGGATGGAATCAGTGGGAGGAGGGGTGGGGGGTTGTGGAGAGGAGAAAAATGGGGTGGAGGGGGACTACGGGGTCCTTGATGCTCTCTCAACTTGGTGGTTTTCTTGCAGACGTCTCATGGACCAGCTAGGGAACATCATCAGTGCTTAGAAGGGAGTAGGGTTTGTGGAGTGGGAGGAGGGTTTGGAGGAGGAGAGGAAGCACTTTGAGGTCTTTGCTAGTCTCTGAGCTGGGTGGTTTTCTTGCAGACGTCTCATGACCCAACTAGGTAACATCATCAGTGCTAGAGGGTTTGTGGAGAGGGAGAGGAGGACTGTGAGGTCCTTGGTGCTCTCTCTTGGTGGGTTTCTTGCAGACGTCGCATGGACTAACCAGGGATATGCCATCAGTGCTAGAAGTGGGGTTGGAGAGAGGAGGAGGAGGAAAAGGAGAAATACCGTGGGGGTCCTGGGTTCTCTCTGAGCTGGGTGGTTCCCTTGCCGACGTTTCATGGACCAGCTAGGGAACGTCATCAGTGCTGGAAGGGAGTGGAGATTGCAAGGGAGGAGGACTGAGAGGTCCTTGGTGCTTTCTGAGCTTGGTGGTTTTCTTGCAGAGTTTTCATGACCCAAACAGGGAACACCGTCCGTATTGGAAGAGCGGGGAGGGGATTGTAGACAGGAAGAGGGGGCGGAGGGAAGTGGAGAGGGAGGAAGAAGGTGACAACTTTGGAGTCCATCATCAGTGCTAGGAGGGAGGGGTGTGTTTGGAGAGGGGGAGGAGGAGGAGGAGGAGGAGGAGGAGGATTGGTGCTCTCTGCGCTTGATGGTTTTCTCTGTGGACCGGGCTGACCTCAGAATCTGTCCATTCGACATTTCATGACCCGTCTAGATCATATCATCAGTGCTACCAAAAAACCCCAGAATACAGAACTCTTCCAAACAGCTCACACACCCAGATAAGCAGGGATTAAACCCA